CTAGGTAGTGATTTGGGATTCCTATTACTAATATTATGGGCATTCATAAAATTTTTTAACTTGTTTTTACCGCTTTTCTCAACGTAAAACGGATTCCATAAAAAAACAAAACAACAATGACCTTATCTTTCTTTTTCAAAGTATTGTGCATATATATATATATATACAGGAAAATCTAGCCTACGGTTTTGGAAGGGAAAACTGTCATATATTGTTAACCATAGGCGACTGAATTAAAATGTATTTTAAAAAAACAACAACAAACCATAGGCATAAAGGCACTATATAATAAGTTGACTAACAAGCATTCCAGTCAATTTGACAGTTAGGACTTGGTGACTAAAAGCCCAGTGGGTTTTTTTTGCCAGCTGGTGTCTCATAAAAATATTTTTTTCACTTTAAAATTGTACATCGATGTAGAGCAGTATCGGATCAAGGAGGAAGACACTCCTGGACAACTGAGGTCCCGTTTGCACTTAGTGCCCCTGTCCTGTAGTGTGTTTCTTATTTAGGTCTAAACTGAATTACAAATATAGCCTAGGCTATCTAATCTAGATCTAAAATCTAGATATCTAAATATGTGTAGATCTAGATTATATCTAGAGATAGATTATCTAGACAATAGCCGCCATGTAAACAAACAGGACCGCAATTATACAGGAGTGCCACGGGCCGCGATTTCTTTCGCACCAAACGCAAAGTGCAGCAAGCGGCTTGTTCAGTTTTCTAATGAACTTTTCAAGTCGCACACCGGCTGCTTCTTTCTCATTCTAGCTCCTTTTATTTTTGCATTCTGCATCAATTTCTCTCGAATTTCCGCCGTTTTCAATGAAAACTCAGCACGCCAACGTCCCGATGCCCGATCGACACGGTGTTGCTCCACAACAATAAATTTATAAATAAACAATGTGAAACTAGCGCTAGGCCTAGAAGAACGGAAGTAGAAAGCTACAGGCGGACAAGTGCAAGACGCGTTTTCGTCTCTCTCCCTGTTCGGTGTTTTCCGCGGGTTAAAAAAAAAAAAGTATCGAAATTTGCAACTGAGAGCGGTCCAGTGGAGGAAGGAGGAAAGTAGCGGGAAAAGCTAGATGAAGCGGAGTTTCCGCTATTTAGCAGGAAAGTGGCAGCTATGCAAAATAAAGGGTTTTGGAAGCTGAGCCTTTAAGTTATTTAGTTGAGTTATTTTGAGGGGGTAATTTGGTGGGATATAAGCTGAGCAGATCGTGATTGGTCTGTGCAGGGTTACCCGTACGGCTATAGCCTAGAGGGTCGTCATAAGATGTATTTGTCTGTGGAGTGTGTTGTTGTTGGTGTAGATTGTGGTTCCACAGGAAGCAATCTGATTCTCCAGGTGAATGTGATGATACGCATTGAATCCTCTTAAGTCTATGGTTGAAGCCGGGGTGAATTTTGTTTCTTGAATACAGGCCACAACTGGGCACAGTGTGGCCTGTAAATGTTGCAATTCTGCAATGGAAGGTCGGATTCCACCGGCATTCCATTGGAGGACTGCCATTATGTCTTTTTAATTTTGTTTTTGGAGCTTGAATGCCCCGGCTTCAAAGAAACACTCTGACTCCCCCTTGTGGAAGAGGCAGAATGTTTTCTAGGTTGCCGTCCTGGATTGGACGGCAGCCTAGTGGGGGATTTGGAGGAGTGATGGACTCCGCTCTTCACGGGGTCAGTCCGGGGAGGGGTGTCGGAGCTGTCCTCCTCTATTGGGATCTTTGGATTATCTGCTTTCTTTAAACAGGAATAAACAAAACAATCTTTCCTTATTTCTGTAGAAAGCAAACTAGGTAAAAGAACAAACAAAATGTTTCTGAGACACAACAGTTCATGCAGGAAGACATGGAATAACAACAAGAGGCAAGTACAGGATAGGGAGAGGAGGAACGTGTTTGGTCCTGGCCTATACCCCGAATTAGGGTGAGAAAGGCAATGGTGAAGACGATGACGGTTCATGTAAAGATTTTGGCCTCTCCTTCTTGTCCTTCATATAAAACTATAAAGACAATAATAATTAAACCCCTTCTTTCCCTCCCTTCTTCCCTCTCCCTCTGTCTCACTCTGCCCCTTCCCTCCCTCTCTCTTTCTCTCTCTCTCTCTCTCTCTCTCTCTCTCTCTTTTCTGCCTCTCTTTGTCTCCTGGTCCCCTTTCTATTTCTCTCTCTCTCTCTCTCTCTCTCTCTCTCTCTCTCTCTCTCTCTCTCTCTATCTCTCTCTCTATCTCTATCTCTCTCTCTATCTCTATCTCACTCACTCCCTCTCTCTCACTCACTCCCTCTCTCTCGCTCGCTCCCTCTCTCTCACTCACTCCCTCTCTCTCACTCATTCCCTCTCTCTCACTCACTCTCTGCACTAATTGGCTATCTAATTTTTACCATTTGATGATGATCAACCCCCAACCGAATCACAACCCGATTTATCAATCTAGATTTTCGAAATTTATTCCCCACTTATGGTACGAAGGAGAAAAGAAATCATCTTGAAAGCACAATTTTAATAAACATATCAAATATAATATATATTATTATTATTTGATACGTTTATTAAAATTGTCAAAAATTTTTATAGTTCCTACTAATAAAATGCGCAAAATATGATTTGAGCTTCTAAGAAGCAAAAAATCTGTAGCTGTTTAGCTTGACAGTGACCTTGAACAAAAACAAGCCTCCATAGCCAGGAGCAGGGCTTTCAACACCTGAAGTATTACCTCAGTAAACAGACAACATTGCATTAATTAGTTTTTACTGACCCATCAGTACCTCCAACAATAACCAGTCAGCAGACTCCATTGCATAATTTCCTCCTCAAAACTGAGCACCAGTACCTCTCACAATTTCCTAGTGAGCAGACTCTGCTGCATAGCTGTTCTTTTTTAACTGACCTGTCAATATCTCCAACAATACCACACCAAAACTGTATGAGTCCAGCTTGGGTGTGATCTTGAAGGAGTAAGCCTCAGGAGCCAGGTATGGCGCAGAGCCTATCACCTTGGACGCCTCCAGCATAAAAGTCTTGGTCATTTGAGAGGGCGACACTTTCGCAGTAGCAAAATCTCCAACCTGGTCAACAACAGAAATGATCAAATTTTGTTTTAGTGAAGGTTTAGTTTGAAAGAAGAGGAGCACATCAACACAATTAACATCATCTATTTTTAAAATACACTCAATCTAAATCATTTGGTAAAACAAAATTTAGAGAATAAAGTGTTTGTTATCTTATAGTAAATTTCTGTAGTCCATTACATGCACGGCTTATGTACATATTGACAGGTATCAACGGTGTAATATGTAAGCTCTTTGCCTTAAACACAGGTGTGAGTTCAATTTTCACATAGGGAAGAGAATTTAATGATCAACTTTTTCTTTCTAAAGAGTTGTGGCATTCCTTATAACCTAGGTTGACCCTGAGAGGCTAGATAAAAAAAAACCAGCCTCCAAACTGAACAAGCATGAGTCGAGAGGCAGTAAAATAACAAGCTTTTTAATTTTTTTACTATAAAACATTTACTATCATTTTTACCTTAGGGGTGAACTGTGTGTCCAGCAGTATGTTCGCACTTTTGATATCTCTGTGTACAAGTCCACCTTCATCGAGAAATACTATACCACGTGCTGTGCCTAGAAAAGACAAAAACAAATCAATGCATAGAAGCGGAAACTGATTTATCATCGTTACAATAATTTTCAGTTCAGCAGCAAAGCAGAACCTGAACAGAGGCATCATGCTGGGTCACCAAGAGGTAATCAGGCTGCCCACTTGCAATTTATACACTTGGCAACATTGGTTCTATTACAATTGATAAAGTTATGCTACTCTGAGCCTACATTTACATATCATCTGCCATTGATAAAAAAAAGAATTAACAATCAAAGCAATGTGGGGGTCCCACTTTACCTTTCCCTTTTACTGCAAATTTTAAGCTTGTCTTGGAAAGTTTTTGCCTTATTGACACAGATTATTCCTTGAACTGTTTACCCACTCATTTAAAACTGCACAGCATTAAACTGAATAATCAATAATTAACAATACTAAAAAGTAGCTAGACCAATGAATCAATGTCTAGACATAGACATAACAGGTAAGCATGGGCTCGTTAAGCACAAAATGGTCTCTGTATGATGCAACTAACAGTGGTGTGACCTATCCATCATCCCCCTTCCAGTTTCTCCCCTTGCTCTCGCTTGCCCAGCTCTGTCTGAATCAGTCTGTTGTGAGAGCAAGCCAGGGAGGAGACCTTTGGATGAAGTCAGGACTTAACAGTCGTCCTTTTTTTTCCCCCTTGAAGCACGATGTGAATTTTTTTAAATTACACTTTTGTTCGTTTTAGTAGGGTTTTACCGCCCTCGCAACTGCGTAAGGTCATAAGAGCGCCAAGGAGTGGATGTCAACAAAGACGTCCAAATGGGAAATCAAGCTTACTCTGCTCAGCTCTCTAGCCTCAACAGCACAGTCTGCTTCAACTATCAATGCACCCCGGAAATAGCAGTTCACAAGAGAGTAACAAACATGCAAAAGAAGTAGAGGAAAAATGACAATAGAAAGAATGAGGAAAGAAAAAGCAGCATTCCCTCTATGTTGTTTCGGAACAATATGAGCATGACATTGATAAGTTAGCCCATTTACAATTCGACTGTGAATAAGAATAAGAACGTGTTAATATCCCCCCTTTGGAAAGGGCCTAAAGACAACTTCAGTCAGTGGCACTGCCCTGGTGGGGGGAATTACACTTTTCATTTTCTGATTTTCAACTAAAGACTCAGCAGCAGGATATCTCAAATTCATGTTATTTCCTGAACATCTTATTAAAAAGGTAAAAATTGGACAAAATAAAGCAACTTCACTGACCTCCCATAATTTCTTATTATCAAATCATACTGACCTCCCATAATTTCTTACTATCAAATCATACTGACCTCCCATAATTTCTTACTATCAAATCATACTGACCTCCCATAATTTCTTACTATCAAATCATCAGCAATTATATCTCAGGGTATCATTCTACAATTTTCCAAGTCAGTCTCCTTGGGTTTCACGATAAAACTGTTATTCAAATGAAGGGGCATCTTACCACAAAGTTTCATTTAGTTTCATATTTCCTTCTTAGTTTTTAACTAAAAAATAAAGAGTACCCGAGTCATGGGTCTGATTTGGGCATTATCTTCTTTGATTTTCACAACACTTCAAAAAAGGACTCAGGCAATTACAGAATGACAATGACAATTTCTATTAAACTTTTTTTTCTAAACAGAGAACAGACAAAACAAAATAACTATGATGACCTCGCATAATTTCTAGTCGCATGGCAGCAGACAGAGGAGGGGTGCCAAATCGACAGGCCAGGCGTTCCTCCAGGGAACCATTGGGCATATACTGGTACACCAGGCAGCGTGAGTCGCCCTCAATACTGTAGCCCATCAAGAGAACTATGTTCTCATGTCGAAAGTTGCTCAAAGTCTGTGGATTCAAATATTAAATATTGTTAATGATAGGCATTCCTATTAATCCAATTCAAATCATTAACTCCTTATCTCAGGCAAGCGGCTCCGCGGCTAGAAAATGGAACTGCTGTGCCAGTGAGCTTCTGGCAGCCGCTCAGGCATATTCCTTTACAATGACTTTGACATTGGATTACTTTTCTGTAATTGCTGAAAACAGGTCTCTATTACCAGATGTTCATTCATTAAATGAAGAACTAATAAAATAGGTTCACGTATTTTGATTTAATGACCAGTTTAGTGGTGTACCTGTCACTTTTTATACCAAAATAGGGCCCCAGCATAGTGGGTTTAACCCCCTCAGAGATAAAGAGATAGGGAGATTGTAGAATTAACGAACACAGAGATTCTTCCTCAAGTCTAAAAACTTCTGAAAGTCTAAAGTAACTGTTCTCATGTTGGTAAAAGCTCAAAATCTGTAAATTAAATAAGTACAAATAATGCAAGAGTGCCACAGAGGTTGCTAATCTAAAGGCATTTTCAAGTGAAAAAAAAAGTAACTGGAGAAGTTTTATGCCCCATCAACACAACTTAGATCGTTTACAATGCGGGTTTTGACCTTGCCTGTCAAGGCAAACCCAGGCAGTGGAGGCTAAAACATCCCATGTGTGTGTACATGTATGTGTGGGTGTTTTTTATGCCCCCATCAACACAATTTTGATCATTTAAGAGGTGGGTTTCCAACATTGAGGCGCCAGAAGAAAGACCGAGAACTCGATCGATAAAAATGTTCTCCCCACTCAGGAATCGAGCTTGGGTCTCCTGCGTGCCACAGCAAAGTGCCTCACTGCAACATGACAGATGCCGGTAAAACATCCCCGCAGACTGAGACACTCTATGAAAATTCAGACATTCAAACACTACATATTTCCAGGAGAGTCTATTGACAGTATCAAGGGCTACCAGCAAGACTACGTGTCTACCATACTATACAAAATAACAAGACAAATCTGTTCAGAATCTTCTTAAGAAAGGCAAAGATTAATATAAAAAATATCTTATACAAAATCAATCTGTGTTGGAAGATAATATATACAAAATAAAATGAAAATGAAAAATGAGCAAAGCAAAACCCTATTTTAAAATTTAAATACACATTAAATCAAGCTGATTTCTACAAAGGACAGACAGTAGTTTTCTTAGTCCTGTCCTTGCTATTAATGTCATCTGTGGAAAATCCAGGTGAAGAAACAGAATCGAATCAGGGTCACCCAAAATGATTGGAACCGTTTCACACCCCCTTCAACACAACATTGATCCTTTAGAAGGTGGGTAGCTTCAACTAAGCATGTCAGTGCTTGCCCAGACAGAGATTGATACAACATCCAAGCAGACACTGAGAAGTAGGATATCTTTTTTTTTCTTTCTTCTTTCTCTTTTGGAAAGCGTTTTATAAAACTTGCAACACTATTAGGTCGTATAAGTGACTAAGATTAGAGGTGTAACAAGCGAGAAACAAATACAAAAAATAAAGGAGGAGAGACAAGGACAATAGATGTTTGATAGGAAAGAAGATGTAAACCACAGCAGAGCACCTGTCAAACACCCACGAAGTATAATAAAACAACTTCTCCTTACAGGATTCTGTTTCACGTCTTTTCTTGCAACACCGAAGAGCCTAATCATTACACCACAGATACCAGTTTCCAAAACGACAGTGTGAGGTAAATAAAAATTGCTCAAACTGTGCATGACAGGATGACTGACCTCCACTTCTGTTTTAAACAGTTCAATGCTATCCTCTGTGCTAAGTTTCATCCGCTTGACCGCTACTGTGTAGTCGCTGTGAAAGGTACCCAGAAAGACATCTCCAAAACCTCCCTCACCAATCAGACGTCCACCTTCCTTGTAGTGTCGGCGATCAAAGTTATCTGAAAAAATCGTCATTTCAAAATATTCAGGCCAGGTGTAGTATTCTATATAATAAGGAGAACTCTTAAAAGAGAAATATATGTTCTCATATTTATGATAACACACATACACAGACAAACAAAAATCAAACATGTAATTAGTAACTCACATGCACATACACACAGACAGAAAGACGGACAGACAGACAGACAGACACACACACACACACACACACACACACACACACACACACACACACACACACACACACACACACACACACACACACACACTTATACAAGCATGCACATGCATACTCAGCAGACACGTTTCAACGAAATCGGATTTGACGAAATGAGTTGAATTCCCTGTTTTATTAATTCATAAAAATGAATAAAAATAACTCGGATTCAATGAATATATAAATGAGCAAGCTTGGATTCAATGAGGCTGCTTGCAGCATGAACTGCCTCATGCGACCAGTCAGCGGCCTACTTTCATATTAAAAACACATGTTATTAGCATTCAGGCATGTCTTTGCACATGTCAGGGTCGGACAGGCGGCCAGTACACGTGTGACTGTGTGTGCGTGTGTCTGAAGGGTTGGGGGAAGGGAGTACAAGAGGTCAGGGAGTGGAAGTTCAGTAGAGATACATACGCGTCACAGTTATTTTTTCAAAATACTGATCAATATTACAATGATAAGCTAGTCTTGACAAAGATTTACCTTATGAATTGCATGCTGGACTCTGGAATCAAACATTGCCATATGCTATGCTCTACACAGCAACATAACTTTTTCGGGAAACAATATGTTATAGATGATAGATAACACAAGCATGCTTTTAAACGAATTGGCCCTTTTGTCAAGTATGTTTGGTAGATTTCAGTGTATTTTCCTAGAATTTTCCAGCACTTCTTTGGTATCAAATCAAAGAAATGAAAATGCCTCAAATATGAAACCAAATTACTTTTGATAGAGAAAGTCAATTACATTATACATTACTTGCTCGATGCCTATAATTATCTACACAAAAACCTTATAATTGCTATAATGAACACTCAGATTCAACGAAATTGAAAGGTAAACCCAACGACTTTGTTGAATTCGAGTTCCACTGTATTCAAATGTGCAAACACACACATGCAAAACAAATCTAATGCATACATATCCACATGTACGAACATTCATGCGTGTGCTTTCTTACGCGTGCACACATTAAGACTTGCGTCTATTCATGCGTGCAAACACACACGTGCAAAACCAACGCATACTAACCCACATGCACAGACATACGCACATATACATAATCAACACAAATACATATAAATATAAACACATGTGAGAATGTGTCTGAACACACTCACTTGTAATTTTCTTCAGAATTCTATAGTCAATCTTCTGCAGAACATCAGGTATGATGTGGAACTCCTCAAATGCTGTTGAGTCCTCCTCCACTTCCTCACTAGGTGGGGCCTCTCCCACACTCACAGCCTTGTCATGCTCACTGGGGACGGGAAATCTTCATATTTTTTATTTGTGAAAGGTTAAGTGAAAACACAACAAAAGCTGGAGCTTCTTATATTGATTGTGTAGTGCTCTAACCTCGTAACTGAAAGAAAGAGTTCAACTTTTAAAAAACTTTTTAACTTTTTTTGGGGGGGGGGGGGGGGGGGTCTTAAACCATTTCTGAGGAAAATCTGCAGGTCCTCAATAAAAAATCTGAAGTCATGATATTGTGGAACACAACCTCCGGCAGTGCACAGCACACAGAGCCCTATGACATGAAGCATTTACCAAGCCAGTTAACACTACAGGAGAAGACATAATATGAGCCCACAGAAGAACTAACAGAACGGCCCGGTCAATGACAGATAAAATTAGTGTTTTCAACTAAGATGCAGTTGAGAAGAAGAAAAAAGAATAAAGTAAGAATTCACTATAAGTCGCTGTCTTAGACAGATGGGTGTCTTGGAAAGTGTCATTTTAATATAACAAAACACAAGGGGAAGAAATGGCAAGTGGGTGTTTGTACAGGTGATTGTCTTGGACAGGTGGTTGCTAGAGCAGATTCTACTGTTCCAGTTACATGGTTAGAGCATTACACCATCATTTTGTCAAACTTTATGTGTATACAAAACAAAATAAGGCTGGAACTCCACCTAAGTGCAAGACAATAATGACAGTGGTCTCTACACAACATTCAGAGATCATTAACAGATACATGTATGTATGAACTATCAGAATACTATCAGAATAACGATTATGTATCTAGCATAAACATTATTGCTAACTATTGTTAAAAGATTACATTAGCGTGTAATTGTAGGTTTTGTAAACTTTTATGACGAGCCATCAGTTAGTCTTTACCCTGACTATGATGGAGTAGGAGCCACATTTCCTTCTGAAGTGCAATGGGCCATTTTGTAAACTCCACAACCGACACAGAAACTGCTCAGAGCATGATTATACTAGTACAAAATTGAGAGATATGTAAATGAAATCTTTTATATTATGATTATTACAATCTTAAAATGTTGCTTATACTCTCCGACAGTTTTTCTTTGTGACTATAAAACTATTGCCATCAGTATCGTACATGGTCATCATGAAGAATTCTCTCAGTCCACCAATGTTTTTCTTATTCTATGGAAGGCCTTACCTTCTGTAGGAAATCTGTTCACTCTTCGTCCCAGCCTCACTGGCCGACACTCCTTCTCCGCTGAGTACCTGGTCCTCCTAGTCATGGGTAAAAAGACGGAAAATAATCAGGAAAAAAAAAGAGGAAACAAATCTGAAATAGTAAACCGTTTTGGTATCGCCCACCTACATGTAACAGGCACATAACGAAATATCCGAGGCATGGAATTTTTTTCTATATGAACAAGCTTAGCTATGTACATGTTTCGTTTTTTGTTGTGTTTGTCTGAGAAAAGAGAAACACATCAACACAATAATGGTTTTTAGTGCTGGGACAAAGTCACACAGACAGACAGACAGACAGACAGACAGACAGACAGACAGGCAGGCAGGCAGGCAGGCAGGCAGGCAGGCAGACACACAGATACACAGACACACAGAAACAACAGAGGGAAAGTACAGAAATAGGACCTACCACTCTCCAACCACCCATATGTACATGATTTAAATACAAAGAAAATACATGTACAAGAAAAATTTGAAACCTGAAATTCTGTTCACAATGTGCACATTCGCCATGTGCATATCAGACAGTACTTGATAAAATAACTACACTATGTAAAAATCAAACTTATGCCTTCAGCACACAACAACAAAGGGTCTAACCATTACTCTATAAATACCACCGCGTAATGTTCTGTCTATTTTATAAAGGAAGCAGGATCATGGCTAATAAAATCAACTTGAAGGTAGGGATCTTTGTGAGGAGCAGCAATGGCAATAAGGGTGTGCTCCTCCCCCCCCCCCAACCACTACTACCTCTTCATCCCTCAATTCTCTTTTTGACTCCCCTTTCCTTTCATGTTCTCTAGTTACTAATTCTTAAAGAGTATCCTTTGAGCATCAGCAGGCGACAGCTTAAAAGACCCTAATTCAATTCTCCCAAAACAGGTTTCAGAAAGTGGATACATTTTAGCTTCAAGCCAGAGGCATATAGTAGGACCTGCTCTAACAGCCATATGTCCCAAACAATCACCTGTACAAATGACCCCTTCCCATTTTCCTCTCGCGGTCTTTTTACATTATAATGATATTGTCTGAGATGTCCACCTGTTTCAAAGAACCGATTTTCTCCTCAACATTAGGTGATCATCTTGCAGAAAAGTATTTTAACTGTTTATCATCGCTGTCACTAGCAATCCATTTTTATTAAGTCCGAATTTTGAGAGTTTTCCATTTTTACACCCTCCCAAAGCTCTGTCAAAGATGCACTTTTCAACATCACCAAAATGTAGTTTAACTCTTTGAACTCCATCGAACGCTGGGAGCGTCCGGCGGTAACAACCCTGTTCCCCATGGGACCCTGGGAGCGCCCAGTACTAGTGACAACTACTTCGTTTTATTTAGTGCTAGTTTTTGCGCTTTTTTTCGGAACTATTCCCGAACCAAGTTTTTAAATAATGACTAAGCCTTTGTTTCCGTTATTTAGAAGTTGGAGGCAAGCTTTTGGGATTATAATGAGACAGTGCACTAGGTTTCGGTGACTGTAGAAAAAAAAAAGCGGGAAACGGTAAAAAAAAAACTCAGGGCTTAAAGAGTGAATGCTATGGTCAAGGCTTTCAATTTTCTTGCTTTTCATGATTACTTATAGGAACAACACAACAAAAACTTTTGTTGTTGTTGTTGTTGTTTTTGGTGTAAAAGGTCCCTAAACCGACTTCAGTGGCTTGTTGGCAACAACTACGATATTCCCCTCACCAATTTCAGAAAACACACAATAAAACAAAATCTCACCCTCACAGTATTTGGTGCAGGAATGGTGCGTGGGGACTCATGACAAATATGGCCCTGACTTGAATTGGGGACGGAATGTGCTGGCTGTCTGCTAAGACATTCAGAACTGGATACGGCTCCTATTTGCACGGGCTGTTGTCCCGGATTTTGTGGCGGTAGATGTTTCTCTACAAACTGTGCTGCTTCCAACAACCTTGCCCTCTTTAAAGCCTGTTAGTACAATCGAAAAATGTAACACCATAACATTAGCAGTAAGAAATGAATAAGTTCCAGAGGAAAATATTGAGATCACACTCTAAAATGAACATTTTTATTTCAATCCTATGCTGAAAAGTGCAACATGTTACAAACAAATGTAACAAAAAAGACCTTTGATCGTAGATCAAATCTTTGCAAAACTTTTTTTTAGTTTTAGTAGAGGGTTTTACGGCGCTCGCAACTGCATTAAGTTATATGAGCACTAAGGGGTGGGTGTCAACAGAGAAGTCTTTACAGAGAATCAGACTTACTCTGCTCACCTCTCTAGCTTCAACAGTACAAAGTCTGCTTCGACTATCAAGGCACCCCAGAAATAGCAGGTCACAAGAGTGTGACAAACATACAAAAAAAGTAGAGGAAAATGACAACAGTAAGGATTAGGAAAGAAAAAGCAGCAGTTCCCTGTTGTAGAACAGGCACAGTTATGAGCGTGACATGATGAATAAGCCCATTTACAATTCTACTGTGCATGAACGAGAAATGTCCCCCCTTTGGGAATGGCCTATAGACACTATAGTCAGTGGCACTGCCCCTGGGGGGAGAAAACTTTTTTAAGTGTTGCAGAAAGTGCATACAACAAAGTAATAATTGACATAAACATTCGTTATACCAACAAGCTTCGGTTTATAGGTTGGACAGACACCAAAAAAAAAAATTTTTTAAACAGTTAGGATTTTACAGTGCATAAACATTCCTTGGTTCAGACAAATATCACCAAATCACAGGAAATTAAACAAATGAATTTAAATTTAATTAAGCCTATTCAGGACAACCACCCATTGAAAAAAGGTTATCTAAGACAAATGGTTTTATCAGACAAAATCATTGCAAAAATAAAAAAAAACAAATGAGCAGTGGGAACTGGTCCTTTGTACTGGTGATTGTCTTGAACAGGTGGTCATTAGAGCAGGTCCAACTGTACTCCAGCAGCACAGTAGGATGCTTTAATGCAGTGCCCTCATTAGAACCAACATTTGTTTGTGTCAAGCTAGAGCCAACAAATCCAAAAGGTATAACCACAGGATATGTAGCTCGACAAATTTCATCCAAAAAAACTGAATAAACAGAGGTGCCAACAGGCAATGAAAAAAATACTGAACTTTTCTAACCATGTGGGACTAAAAATTCATGGATCTAATATCATGCATAGTTTGTTTGTTTTTGTAAAGTGTTTTACGGCGCTCGCAACTGCATAAGGTCATATGAGCGCGCGGGACACACTTAATATTTTCAGTTGATAGGAAATTTTGAATTTTGCCCGGGTGGCGGCCGAAGCCTACTCTTATCGATTTTAGACCACCAAGGGATCTTTAACGTGCGCAACTGGCACACGGGCCCTCCGAGATTTTTTGCCCTTGTCCGAGAAGGCTAAGTGTAGATCTTTCCTACCAGAAGATCAGGGGTGTGGCTGAAAGACAGCAGTAAGAGGAAGCGAAGGAGTAGCAGTAGAAAGGCTGCAGAAAGAATCAAGAGCCCAGAGGAAGGGGCAAAAGAGGTGAGGGGGTGGGGGCAGAAAGAGGAGACAAAAGCAGACGACAGAACATTGCTAGAGAGCAGGAAATGAGGTGAAAGGAGACAAATTTAGAGAAGAAAATTTTTCGGTCGCTACCCGGATTCGAACCCGGGACCTTTTGAATGAGAGGCCAACACCTTAACCTCTAGGCCACGAGAGCCCCCATCATGCATAGAGACTGAAGAGTGATATAAAGATATAAAGTGAAAATTGAGGGCAATTTTAGAAATCCGGATTTCTGAACTTATCCTGAAAATTGGCTCCTCTGAATTAAGCACTTAACCAACTCAGAGGTCTCTTGACAAAATTCAAAATCAAGCTGTACGATTTATCTCCGGAGCTTTGAGATCCACTCCAACTGCAGCTTGTGAAATCCATACGAACCTGGAACCCTTGGACTTGCGGAGAGAGGCAGCAGTTGTAGAGATGAGTGAGCGCTACAAAAGACTGGAGAAAAACCACCCAAACAGGAAAATAATTGAACAGAGACGACCAAAGAAACGAATTCATGGAAGATCAATACTTGACACAGCCACTGAACTAGCAGAAAAACACCATCTTCCATGTAACAGAGAAATGCTGAAACCTTTAAGACCAGAACTCCCCCCAAACGCTAACATCAAGAATGCCAACATCAAAACCTCCCTCATAAAGGAGACAGTGAAAAAGGAATGTGACCCAGTAGAACTGAAGACAACAGCTCTGAAGACAATTGACTCCTACCCTAGTGATTCAATTCATATTTATACATACGGATCAGCCTTCAAGGGAACTATAAACGCAGGCTTTGGGGTAAAAATTGAACATCCTGACAAAACATGTGAAGAGCTATTTGACGCATGTGGTACTTCTTGTACAAATTACGAGGCTGAGGCAATCGCCATTGAAGCAGCAATCCTCCACCTGACCAACATTTTCATAATACATCCAAACAAAATCAAGAACACTATAATCTTCACAGACGGAAAGTCAGTACTCCAAGCCTTGGAAAACATGAATTTCGAAAGCCCAGCCTGCCTATCCGTGGCTCAAACAATCAATACGTTCATACAGACCTATGCCGTCGACCTGACACTACAGTAGATACCTGGCCACAGCAAGATCCCAGGAAACAACAGAGCAGACACCCTTGCCAAGAAGGGAGCAACACAAACACAACCACACAACCCAGTATCACAACAGACAGCCAAGAACATCATCAAATGCAACACCAGGGAACAGTGGCTGAATGGATGGGCAATGGGCAAAACTGGAAGAACTGTATTTGCACACATGACAGCCCCCAACTCTAAAGATGCAATAAATTCCCTGAGTAGAAGAGAACAAGTCACGATATTTCGCCTGCGAACACAACACATACCACTAAATTCCTACCTTAATAGGATCCGCAAGGATACCCCACCCGACTGCCCGTTGTGCGACTGCTAGGATGAAACAGTACCACACCACCTCTTTAACTGCCCAGCACTTTGTGATCTGCGTAGCACCTACCTACCTGCCTCCCCAGACATCGGAAACACTCTATACAGCGACAAAGCACAGCTGATTAAAACCTGTCAATTCTTTGCCATATCGACAGACCGAAGGGCTAGAACCCAAATGGCCGCTGGATCGGAAAAGTAAAGTAAAGTAAAGTAAGAATTAAGCACTTAATAAAAAGGACCTCACGCTATGAATAAAAGAGCTCTTTTTCAGCTGGGATTTTTTTTAATGATTTCATTTTATCATAGAATTCTATAAATATACAACGGGCGCTGTACCACGTAACCTGTGAGGAATTGAGGACCGAAAATAATGGCGTAGTGAGGGCAAGATTTAGCGTTTTCGGAAGCGACCCTTAGCTGTCAAAGCAAGAGCGGCTTTTACAAAATAGTAAAAAGTTGAACATTTCTTACAGTTTAGTTTATAATTTTATCCAGAATTCACTATGCAACCTATAGATTGGAATCAGGGTTTTATATTGCTGTGTTTTTGGGTGCAACAACAGAAAAAGCAGAGGGTAGAAGTAGTACAAATAAGATCTACAGAATGGTTTAAAAATCCATAACGCTGAAAATGGGATTGTTCACAGCACTTCCCGCTTCCCACACACATTTTGCATACAAATATGGCCTGCGTCACATTTTAGTAGCAAAACTTGTTAAAAGAAATTGGTTTTATAGGGAATATATTTTCTAACAAAATGTTCTCAAAACAAGCGTTCAATAAGCATTAGAAAAAAAAAGGGGGGACAGACTTGCATTTAAAAGAGATATCTGGATCGATAACAACAAAAACAACAACAAAGCTGGATCGATAAAAGAGATATTGCTCCAGCTGTAATTTTTTTTTAATCTGTAGAAACCATGGACAGGGATTTTAAAATTTGTTATTAGTATTTATTAAAGAATTTCCTAGAATAATGTGTACAGGTGTTAGAAAAAATACTCATCTGTTAAGACAAACAGATATAGATCTAAGTCATTGAGCAAAAGTTGGAGAATCTATGTTCGATAGTTAAGGAGATATTTGACAACAAGTTGCGTCACAAATTTTTGAACGTACTACAGTAGAGTTAGCGTATCATTTTCATCCGAAACATTAGTATTCACATCCATACATCTCTTTGGACCTTTACAAGTACATGTACTTTGTAACTTTCATAATTGTGTTTGAAAACATTTTCAATTTTTTTCACTTTCACTTCCCATGCGTGAGCACATAGGATTATAATTACAGATTCCAGATCTGACAAAGGTATATATTAAATGTGTATAGTGCAGGGTTAGACAATGCATTGCAATGTGCGTGAACTGCTGCACACATAATTCAATGAGCGCTATTATTAATTATTGCACAAGACTTGGATTTGATCCGTAACAAGAGACCACTTACTTTTTCTTATACGTGCTCATGTATGTGTGTTTCTTTACTGTGTGCGGGGGTTACAGGGAAACAAGCCCCCATCCCATCGACATCAAAATACACACAGCTCTGAAATCCTTGACCAGTGATCACTCTTTCTGTTGTGACTGTACTCTAAGGTATTTTGCCCCACACACTGTACTCTAAGGTATTTTGCCATTAGAACACACACACACACACGCACGCACGCACGCACGCACGCACGCACGTATGCACGCACGCACACACACACACACACACACACACACACACACACACACACACACACACACACACACACACACACACATGAGTTTGAACATATTCAGGAAACATGCCAGTACCACGTGTTTACTTTGTTTTATATTATTGTTTTTTATGTGTAAAACAATCTTTGAGGCATTTTTGTGTTTTTGGCAGCATATGTATTTATTGTGGAACCAACTCATATTCCAATCTCTCGTATTTGTTAGACACGCATGTACTTTAAACAAAGCATGTTGTACACACTATATTTCACTGATGTAAAAACAGAGATGAATCCTTGGAGTGAGAAATAATACATTTCCTCAATATCACCTAAATTTATTTATCTCTTTCTAGTAAATTGGAGAAAAGGCCTACATTCTTTTTCCTGGCAGTGGATGGCCTTACATTTAATGAGATGTAATTGTAGAGAGCATGTTAGTGTCAGCGTCCCCTGTAATCAAGACTAGATCTAGATATTTTGCCAACAGAACTAATGTTCATAATTATTGTTTCTATCAAGTGTATTGTGAGTGTGTACATCTAGATCCCCATCCCACCATTTTAAAAAAAACAACATCACAAAAACATTGTGACATTGCCAGTTATAACAGTCTAGATAGTTGGCAATAAAAATGAACTATTTCACTATTTCCTCTACGAAGACAGTTTTAAAATACTGATGTAAGGTGTCTTCCAAGCCCTACCACCAGCATCAGCGTGCATAGCAATGCGAAGCCTCGCTGTGCAGCGCAGCCAACGCTGCCCTCACAATGCCGCCATGTTTTAGTTTCAATTCCTCTCAGCCAATCAGCGATTGTGAGAGAGGAGTTCCGCAGCTATAAATGTAGGAATTCTGTGCATTTTATACAACTCCATAGAGTATAATCGATTTTCAACTGAAGAATAAGAGCCTATTTAGGAACAATTAGAGAGAAAGAGAGTAGCTATGCCTGTTCACTTCTGAAAAAAAAAAAGTTTTTTGGCAAAGTAAAACAAAGCAAAACAAGCTTTCTCTTATGCTTTCTTTTCAAACAAAGTACAGTGAAAGTTCTCCTGACACTTAAACTCCCTTCAATATTACATATACGGGGCATACATTAGACCACACAGATTTTAATTTTATTAACCACAAGTGAATTATTTTGGACAGTCTACTTCTCCATCAGTCTGTGAAACTTCTTGGCCATATTTCTTTTAAATATCATGCCTTTAATTTCGAGTTTTCTATCACAGCACTTTATCCAGAAAAAAAGACTTTCACCATCAAGCCATGAAAGCTGGTACATATGTATTTAAAGGAACAAAATGTAAAAAGACATGAACAACAAAATCCACAAATCAAAATGACTAAATGTGAGTAAATGTGTCTATTCTTACCAGAATCAAATGTTTCACTTTACTGTTGAGTGTACCCCACTCTGTGAGAAGACTTCTTGTTGCACTATCTCCCCTCTGATTGTTCTTGTTTCTGAATATGGCTAAGTGAGCTGAAGTATACCTATTGAACAAAGCAGATGAAAATGTCATTGAGTGGAGATAAATAGTGGTCAAGTAAAGATATATGTATTTTTATTTTTTTTTTGTCCCTTGCCCATTTCTATGATACTGACGCCATCTGATTAGTAGAAAAATGTGCGTATGATAGAGCCCCATTATGTATTACGTACACAATTGTTATAACATATAACTGTTACATCATATATATAGATATTCAAGATAATTATAGATGTTTGTGAACGATCTGAGAGCAATGATGATTTTAGAAATGACGGTTGTGGTGATGTTAAGTGTTGATGTGGGATGGTGTTTATGTATATAATTATTAAGAAGACATGTTTCTGTTAGTTTGGGTTTTTTTATAATGTTAGCGTTTGTCCTATCTTCCTCTGCTCTGATGAGTCACAAGGGGTGTGGGCACCCGTTATCCTATTCCCTACTGGAACCATCTTTAATGTCACAGTGAAGTTCCGAAATGGTGAGCACAGTCTCTGCTAAGGTGACCTTGTTAGTGTTAGCTATTCTAATGGGCCAACTTGCTACCTACAACCCCCTTACGAAATCCCCAACATAATATCTGCCATTGTACTGTCCACCTACATATATGTATTTATATTTATATTACATATATATTCATTGACTGATTGAAGGTAAAAGTTTTACGATACCATTAACCAAACATAAACGGGTGACCCTGCCAGTCAGATCCAACTGAGGTTGAGTGGGACATGGTTTTTAAGCAGGGTTTTTTTAATAAAATATTCCCTCAGCAGGGAAGTGAACAGACTGACAACACAGGTACACAAAGCTTTGAAAGATAAAACATCCCAGCAAATAAATAGAGACACTCTATTAAAAACCTCCCCACACAAATGTCAGACTCATGAATTCTGCAAGCAACAGTGAAGCCATTATGTCGAGTGTGTCTGACAACATTGGATTGAAAACTCCTAGACAATAAAGAATAGTTATCTCATTTGATCTTACCAATAGATTACAAATCACTAGATAAAACATAAATTACATTTTTAAGTTAAGTTCCAAGAAAGGCAAAGACCAGCCCCACTAGTCTTCCCAGCAATGCCTATTTAGTTAAAATCATTTTCTTAACTCAGATTTCAAAGATTCCTGTCAAACGATGATCACAACTTAGCTTAGAAAAAGGGAAATCTGTTCACCTTGGCTCAAATCCAGCATCATCCGGCAGAAATTCAAAAATAGAATCAGGTCTGCGAGGGATTTGCTCTGCCAATAGTTCCCACATGTTGTCAATGTCCAGCTTAACAGCAAGTTGTCGATGAAGCAAAGGAGGAACATCTCTTATATATGTATCCTCAGTGACTTGGTTATTCCTCCGCCTTGCACCACCAGAAATAGAAGACAGTGACATTTCGCTTCTGAAACTATACAAAGGAATTGAAAAATTATAATATATTTATATATATCAAGAACATTTGTGGAATAACATACCACTCTTGCTATTGATTGTGAAGGAGCTGGTCCCCCCCCCCCCCCCCCCCCACCAGGGCAGTACTACTGACTGAAGTGTCTTTAGGTCATTCCCAAAGGAGGATGTTAACGTGTTCTTATGTACAGTAGAATTGTAAATGGGCTGATTTATCAACGTCATGCTCATACTGTGCCGGAACAACGTAGGGGAGAACTGCAGCTTTTTTTCCCTCATCCTTACTATCGTCATTTTCCTCTGCTTCTTTTGTATGTTTGTCACTCTCTTGTGAACTGCTATTTCCGGGGTGAATTGATAGTTGAAGCAGACTTTGAGCTGTTGAGGCTAGAGAGGTGGGCAGAGTAAGCCTGATTCCCCATTTGGACTTCTCTGCTGACATCCACCCCTTGGTGCTCATATGACTTTATGCAGTTGCTAGAGTCAAAAAACCTTACTAAAACAAACAAGGAGCTGGTCAAGATTTCCTGCTGATGGGTAATATCCCTGAACACGACGCCTTCGCTCTTCCCATAAATGTTCAGTTGGATTTATATCAGGGCTATTTGCAGGCCAAGGCAGTCTGTTAATTCCATTTTGAGCAAATAAAATTGTTGATAACACGAGCATAGTGTAGCCTGGCATTGTCGTCCTGAAAGACTGCTCCAGCAACAATCAACTGCCGCTGCAAGACCACTAGCGGCTATTCAATCTCATCACAATGGGAATGGCATTGAGATTTGGCTAAATGTGGTAGAGAGGGGTCCTATTGTGAAGATTTATCGCACCCTACACCATCAAGGAACCTCCCGCATAATGGACTGTTTTCACAAGGCAGGCATCTAGAAAGAGCTGTCCACAACGTCTCCATACTCGACTGCGGCCATCATGCAGCTCCAACTGGAATCTCGACTTGTCAGTGAAGACGACATGACCCCAGTCTGCTCATGTCCACGTCTAATGTTGTGTACTCCACATTCGGCGTGCTTCTCGATTGTCTTACATTAGCTGTCATCTGCGGACGGGATGTCTAGAGTGCAGCTCAATATTTGTGCTGGTGATTTGTAACAGTTCAAATGCTGATAGACCTATATTTTGTGTGAGTAGCCTGTCTGAGACTGCTGGATGAAGTTACCTGTTGTTGTTCGGGTTGCAACAGCCTGGCGTTGGATAAATCGGTCTTCCCTCACGCAGTGATTGACCTGCCCGGGCTTCCCAGACCGAGAGCGTTCGTCAGCACTTCATCATCGTGGTTTGTTGGTAGCACTCTAGTAGTCCGCTGACCACAGATGGCAAAACAAGTCTCTGGAGCCACCTCGAGGAAACACCATCTTAGAGCCAACCAGTCGTCATTCGCTCTGTCATGCGAAATCAACTTTCATTCGGTAGAACTGTTTGGCAATTAAATTTTCAACTCATTGCAAGGGCTTTTATAGTCATTCATTACTTCGGCGTAGTGTTCATTTAAACATACTGATTTACCACATGAAAGTTTTCTTTACACCTCCAAGACGCAGTATAATTTTTTTTATCATTTAAAAACAAGCAATTTTTTCAAGAACTTGCATGTTTTAGCACGTGCCTCGTTTTCTCAAATCAAGCATACTATTATTAATTTATTTTCAAATTTGGTTACAATACACATTGTTGTAAAACTGACTGCTCAAATATAGCCGCATTTCTAAAGGTATTATATAAATTTATAAAATGTCACATGAAAAATGCATATATCTTTATCGATCTAAAATCTAAATTATTTACTACTTAGATCTTCTAGAGGCCTATTTTTAGTTTTTAAAATTAATAAGTAGATCTATAAATAAAAATTATGGTAAATTATAGATCTAGATCTAGATCTAGATATAGATCTAGATCTATATATCAAAAACTATTAATTTGCGACGGAAATGAAGTTGATATTCGAGTTCAGCGCATCAATATTTAGATCTAGAAATCTATATCTAGATCTAGATTATAGAATCTAGATTAGTAGAAAATAGACAACTGGTAGCTGAGTGTCAGACGAGAGGCCGAGAGGGAAAGTAAAAAAATACCAAATTACCTTGTTCTAGATCTAGATATTAGATTCTAGATCTGGCATCTAAAATCTATATCTAGATTTTTCTAGATCTCTAGATTCTAGATCTACTTGTTGAGCAGATCTATTGTTGGCACAGGAACAGAGACAAGGATAGCCTCCTCCTACTGATCAACTGATCACTTCAGACTTCAGTAGTGATGGTGAAAAAACAAACTTTTCTCTTCGGCAAAATATAGAGTCTAACTCCAGACCTAGAATCTAGACCCTTAATTATGTAATTATCTACAGTCTCTCAAATAAGACAAAATTAGCACTTCAAAGTGTGGCCGGTCCTCGAAAGGTATCTGCATGGTTTGTAAGTGGTCTAATGTGAAACGTGAAGACTGTTCGGTGTTTCCTTCCAAGTTTGTTGACAACTCTCAAATTAGATCATTCAGGGAAGGGAACCGGAAATCCCAATCTATTTATAGATTCTAACATTATAGCCAATCATATCTCTAGAAAGGAGAACTACAAACCAATCAAAAACTAAAGCCTGGAGAAACCCGGAAACAAGCTTGGTTATTAGCTATATATTGTATGACTGATCTAGAGCTCTCAGTAGTCAGGATGGCCGAGCGGTCTAAGGCGCTGCGTTCAGGTCGCAGTCCACTTCTGTGGGCGTGGGTTCGAATCCCACTTCTGACATTATTTTTTTCTACTTTCTTTTTTTTTTTTTACATTTATTTTACTTCTGAAAAGGATCCTCCATTAATATGATTTGTGTTGATTGGCTTGTTTCTCAAAGAAAGACGAACTATAGGTCGTTCAGCCTCTGCTGCTCACACCTAAGAGCGAATCAGCGCGAAGTCCTCTGTTTGATTGCTTTGAAATTTTCCATATAATGTTAGATTTTACTGGACGTTGCAGATTCTAAATTTTGTGGTTGAGAAACCTTTACAAGTTAGGTTCCGACAGGGTTCCTTTGATGTTCGCCGAAACTATGTCAGATTTATAATAGAAGTTTTACAATAGAAGTAACATACGATGACACGGAGAAAATGTCTGGTTTTCGTTGCAACACACCAACTTTTACAAAGCAGGGGCGGAACTCGTAGGAAATGTATGAATGACAAGAAAGTCACCAGGACCAAGGTGAACGAGTCCAGGCTGACGAGACAAACAAAACGTAAATAACTTTCCAAGGGCATAAAAATAATATTTTGGTTACAATGGACAGCTAACACTTTTAAGTTTTAAAAAGATTAAAACATCACATGAAAAGGAAAGGAGTCATTGATCGTCCTCAGAATCGGACCCAAAGGGATTGATAACCATCTTTTTTTGAATAAATCCATGCCCGTCAGTTTTCCAATAATTGTTCTGTTCTGCCATGACGTGTTCAACACATTTCTTCCAGTAGTGTCTGTCTACGTCAAATATAGCATTCGTCGTCAATGTCTTATGATGTCTGCTATTTTGAAAGTCATATTTTTGTCAGCGACATCGTGTTTAATCCTTGGCCAAACCAACTCAATAGGGTTTAAATGGGAATGGTACGGTGGAAGTCTCAGGCTCGTGTGTCCATGAAAAGCTATGACTTTATCAATAGTATAGATCTTGGGTCGATTTAGACTTTTGACTATTTGCAAAAGTTCTGGTTTTAAAGCGTGCTCTTGGAACTCGATGCTGTTGGTACAAAGCCATTCTTTTATGTCGTCTCACCCAGGCCCCTCTTGTATGTTTCAACAGAGTACACGCCTTTAGATTATTATGACAGTGTGTTTTCAAGAGATTTGTGAGTGAGCTGTTTTCAGTTCGTCAATAACACCGGACTTGTCTGTGTCGAAAAAGTGGTAAAAAATGACCAGCATGTCAGCGTGCTGTAAATACATGATTTTTTGTTTCCACTGGGGCTCGAGATAAATACAAAGCCCAAATAAGCTATCTTTTGGGGTAAACAAACTACGATTTTAGAAAAATAGTTTTCGTAACGTCCAGGTCATTTCACTTTATTTTGCAAAATTTCAAATCGAAATATTGAGAACTGAGTGAGCAGGATTTTTCTAACCGTGGGCAACTGTGGCTTAACGACCTAGATAAAATAATCGTGTCGACTGCTGTCTACTGTCGAGCCGATACTTACACGTCATTCAGGGCCATAGTTATCTATTCACTTCTTTTTCTGTGAAAGCTCCTCTAATACCTTTCCACTTCATTCTATTTTTTTCTCTTTCTCTCTCTCCCTCTCTCTCCTTTTTTTTTTTTTTTTTTTTGAGTTTGTTTTTTGGCGCTCGCAAATGCATATGAGCGCGCGGAACACACCAAACATTTTCAGTTAGTTGGAAATTTTGAATTTTGCCCGGATGGCGTCGAAGTCTTTTGTTTTGTTTTTGTAAAGTGTTTTACGGCGCTCGCAACTGCATAGGTCATATGAGCGCGCGGGACACACCTAATATTTTCAGTTGGTAGGAAATTTTGAATTTTACCCGGGTGGCGGCCGAAGCCTACTCTTATCGATTTTAGACCTCCAAGGGATCGTTAACGTGCGCAGCTTGCACACGCGACCTCCGAGATTTTTCGCCCTTGTCCGAGAAGGCTAGGTGTAGATCTTTCCTACCAGAAGATCAGGGGTGTGGCAGAAAGACAGCAGTAAGGAGGAGCCAAGGAGTAGCAGTAGAAAGGCTGCAGAAAGAGTTAGGAGCCCAGAGGAGGGGGCAAAGGAGGTGAGGGGGTGGGGGCAGAAAGTGGAATTGAAAGCAGACAACAGAACATTGCTAGAGAGCTGGAAAGGAGGTGAAAGGAGACAATTTTAGAGAAGAAAATGTTTCGGTCGCTACCCGGATTCGAACCCGGGACCTTTGAATGAGAGGCCAACACCTTAACCTCTAGGCCACGAGAGCCCCCGTCGAAGTCTACTCTTACTGATTTTAAACCACCAAGGGATCTCTAACGTGCGCTACTTGCTCACGGGATCTCCGAGATTTTTCGCCCCTGTCCGAAAAGACTACGTGTACATCTTTCCAACCAGAAGATCAGGGGTGTTGCTGAAAGACAGCAGGAAGAAGGAGCCAAGGGGTAGCAGTCAAAAGGCTGCAGAAAGAGTCAGGAGCCCAGTGGAGGGGGCAAAGGAGGTGAGGGGGTGGGGGGGAGTAATTGGAGACGAAAGCAGACGACATAATATTGCAAGAGAGAAGGAAAGAAGGTGAAAGGAGACAACTTTAGACTGGACCTTAGAATAAGAGGCAAACACCTTAACCTCTTGGTCATGAGAGCCACACACACACGCACTCTCTCTCTCTCTCTCTCTCTCTCTCTCTCTCTCTCTCTCTCTCTCTCTCTCTCTCTCTCTCTTTCTCTCGCACGCAAAGAAGACACACAGACGAGTTAATTTAGTTTTTGTTTGGGGTTGGTGCATCGAGTAGAATCGCCTCCTGCCTCCTGGTGACAGAGGGGCCTTTTTAAAAATGACTCATGACGGCGATTTAGGGGTTAGAATTCGAAGATGGGCGGGTTTTTTGGAGAAAAAAAAATTTAAGGAGATATTGGTGCCATCATGAGTCTTATTGACATCAAACCTATCGAACAAAATACTGGGGTCACGGGAAGCCTCTCAAATGAGCCAGAAATAACACGATTTTTCCAACCAATTCCCGATATGAAAGGTAGTTTTCTCTAAGCTATTTGTCTAATTGGCCCTGATGAAAAAACTAACACGGCGGATGCGTGATTCCTTCTCCGTGTTTAGGGAGTTGACCCTCAACTACAGACTTCAACAAAAGTTAAAGACCACCTTGACAGACAGCCTTGATTTTTTTTTTTTATCCGAAAAAAAGACGGCAAGGAATGTTTCAAAATTGTTTGCACTGAAACTGCTAAAGGTTACCAATGCGTACTGCAAAACTTCCTAAAGTGGCAAAACCACCACAAGCTGCACCGAAATCCTTGGGGAATTTTAGCCACATTTGCTGTTTTTTATCGAGTTGTGTGCGACACCACGTTAAATTTCTAGTGCATGTCATAAACGGACGTACGGTCTCGAACTGTGCTCACTTTGGTGGCAATATAAGCCGCCGTTAGTTCAAAATCCAGTATCGCATCAACATGCCACCAAGACAAAAGCTGGGACACTTTGATGGTGCCAGAGCTATGGCATGGCTGCAAGATGGAGTTGGAGCTCGAGAAGTTGCCAGAAGGCTTGCAGTGTCACACTCTGTCATTGTCCGCCTGAGGTAGCGTCATCAAGCCACTCGATCCATCCAAGAGCACTCACATGCAGGTCGACCCAAGAAGATTACTCAGAGTGTTTGCAAGTGGTCCTTAACTTTTGTTGAAGTCTGTAATACGGCGTCTCGGCCTTATACATGTCTTGGTCGTATCTTTGTCTGAATCTTGACTTAAAAGTAATGGGTTGATTTTGACCTTTCGTGAATAGTTTACTTTTACCTATGCGCAAATAGGGGACATTTAAGACGAACAAACGTAAAACAGAAGGAAGAATCTGAATTAGTTGTCAAACAATTCGATAGACTAATAGGCCTACACGCTGAGTATGAAACTGAATCGGGGTCGGAAAAAGAAAGTCTCTTGCTGCCTTTTTTTTTCTTTTTTTGCCTGCTCGAATTACTGCTCCTGTGCATTCAGAAATTCAGACCATCAATTACATTGTGAGAAGACTTGATATTGAGAAAAGCAAAGATGACACGGAAAATGTTAATGTAGATCACTCAGATCTTGATGAGGTGACATGTTTCAAAATAATGACCATGATTTTAATTACCAAAACTATGATCCGTAGAGTGGGGGCTCTCGAGGTCGAGGGGTTATTGTGTTTGCTTCTCATTCAGTAGGTCTCGGGTTCGAATCCGGATAGGGACCGAAATTTATCTCCTCAAAATGTCTCCTTTCACCTCCTTTCCTGCTCTCTTGCAATGTTCTGTCGTCTGCTTTCGTCTCTATTTTCTGCCCCCAACCTCTTTGGTTCCTCCTCTGGGCTCCTGGCTCTTTCTTATCTACCGCCTTTCTACTGCTACTCCTTTGCTCCTTCTTACTGTTGTCTTTTATCCACAACCCTGCTTTACGCCTCTCAACAACTCCATTATGTTGTTGTTTTTTTTATCATTTTCCTCTTTTTTTTTCTCTTTTTTTGAGTACGAGATCATTTAAGATTATGTCCTTGTTCATACCTTTTTTCTTTTTTTAATACACCAGTCTGCATGCAAACTGACAAAAACACAGATTCGCTTACCTTAATTTTCCTATCACATGTTCACACACACACACACACACACACACACACACACACACACACACACACACACACACAAATATAGTATATTATGGCATACACCCACACAAACATGCAAACGTCTACACATACGCACACATAACCCCGCAACAAAAAACAAATACACGACGAAAGCACCAAAGTGCAGGTTCGACTGTACAGGCAGTATT